AATGAGTTCATGCCATAAAGAATTCAGCAAAGTGCTTACTAAAGTATGTTTAATTTTATGCCAGGTTCATGTTTTGTTTATCAGCACCTCTTAAAAAGATGGCATCATATCCTACAAATGTAACCTAACCTAGTTGCCAATCTCTTATAATTCGGGCAACTCCTTTAAGTGGTATTGCTGGATAGAGGAGCATACACATTAAATTTTTGATAAATGTTAACTAAGTTGACTTCTAAAAGATTGTGAATTACATTCCAGCCAAGACTATGAGCATGCTCCTTGCCCGTAATTTTTCTAACTATAGTTATTAGCAATCTAATTTTTAAATCTGTGCTCATTTGTGTGGGAATTTCAATTTGCATATTAAAAGACTGGTGCAAATTGGATATCTTTCATACAGTTCTTGACCATTGCATGTTTATATTTTTTCTATTAAACTTTTTTCTTATTGATTAAAATTATTTCATATGTTAATCATCTCCCTATTATAAATATTCCCCCTTTGTTTCTTTTTTCCTTTGTTTACAGCATTTCTTTTTAGTTGCTTCTAATGTTTTACCTTGTTCTGTAGAATTCTTTAGTCTTTCTACCATGTATGGTGTAGATTTGGTTTTATTTATCCTGTTCGTGGAATTTTTGTATTCCTCAGCCAAAAGATTCACACATTTCATCAAGTCTAGAATATTGTCAACATTATGGTTTCAAAAATTGCCTTTCCCTACTCAATGCTCTCCCTCTAGTATTTCTATTAGATGTGTCTTTAATTGAATTTAAGATACCTTCAATTGTAAGATGTAGCACAAGAAAATAAAATATGAAACTATCCTGATTTATCATTTAGATTTTCTGTTTTGTTATTATCATAGAACTTTGACTTTTCAAAACATTTGTATCATATATCACTCTTGTGCATGTGATGCACACATATTATATATATGTAAAAGCACACATATATAAAAGCTCTCGTAATATATCTTAACATTCAGTTTCTCAGTCAGTTGCTGATAACTGCTGTTTTTCCATATATCACCGTTGTCAAGGCTGTGAATGATGCAGCATTCTTAAGAGTTATACTGGGCTTCTCTGGTGGCTCAGTGATGCAGTGACCTACTGGTGTAGGACCTCTGGGTTCGAGCCTAATCCTGGAAGATCCCACATGCCTTGGAACAACGATCTATGCACTACAACTATTGAGCCTGTGCTCTAGAGCCAGGGAGCTGCAACTACTGAAGCCTGACTGCCCTATATCCCATGTCCAAAACAAGAGAAGCTATCACAGTGAGAAGCCAGCGCACTGAGACTGAAGCCAAGAGTAGCCCCTACTAGCCGCACTGAGAGAAAGTAACAAAGATCCTGCACGGCCACAAATAAATAAATAAAATTATGTTAAAAAGAGTGCTACTCTGTTGTTTCTAGAATTTATTCCAAGACTCAGCCACGCATTTGTAAATTTTGATGCTAGTACTAACTTCCTTTATGTATGATCAACTATCCTTTTGCATATATCTTTATATCAAAACAGAACAGTTTCATCTTTTGTGGGTATTTTTCTTTCTAGGTCATTTTGGTGTCTGAGTTCCTTTGCAAAGTGTGGAATGCATTTATTCTTCCAGTGAGAAATATTTGCTTCACTAATAACATGTATACTCTGTTACTCTGTTTTTATGCTTTCTGCTTACATAATCACATTTTGGTTTAATGCCAAGTCAAAGTGTTATTAATTTGAAGGTATTTTAAATGGCAGTTAAACTCCACTCATGATTTAAGAATGGCTATGAACTGTGGTCAGATATGGCCTTTCTGAGTAGTTAACATTTTACTAGAGAAACTAGCTGTTTGGAGAGTGGGAGAAAGAGTATTCTTGGCTAAAAAATAACATGTTTAAAAGGTCAGCATGCTTAGAAGGTGTTCAGATAGTAGTTTGTTTTAAAATTCAAAGCTTTTTGGACTTGCCTAGTGGCACAGTGGATAAGAATTCGCTGCCAATGCAGGGGACTCGGGTTTGATCTGTGGATCAGGAAGGAAGATTCCACATGCCATAAGCAACTAAGCTCATGTGCTACAACTACTGAGCCCATACTCTAGAGCCCACGAGCTGCAACTACTGAGTCTGAGCACCTAAAGCCTGTGCTGGGCAATAAGGGAAGTCACCACATTGAGAAGCCTGTACACTGCAAGAGAAGCCACCACAATGAAAAGCCTATGCCCTGCAATGGACAGTAGCCCCTGCTCACTGCAACGAGAGAAAGCCCAAGAAAAGCAACGAAGACCCAGTGCAGCCAAAAATAAGTAAATAAATTTGAAAAACTTCAAAGCATTTTAATAAATATATCCCCCCAGTTTTATTGAGATATAATTAACATATAAGCTTCCCTAGTGGCTCAGTGATAAAGAATCAGCCTGCCTATGCAGGAGATACGAGTTTGATCCCTGGTCTGGAAAGATTCCCTGGAGAAGGAAATGGCACCCACTCCAGTATTCTTGCCAGGAAAAATCCCATCAAAAAATCTGTGTAAAAGCCCACAGAGGATCCTGCTGGACTGTGGTTCATGGAGTTGCAAAGGTTTGGACAAGACTCAGGGACTGAACAACAACTGACATAATAGAACTCAAAGATTGATATGTCTGGAGCACACTGAACAGAGGGGAGAGAAGTTGCAAAGAGAGGCAGGGCTGAGATCTTACAGCACTTTGCAAGCCTTCTATAAGTGAAAAAGTTATCAAAGACAGCTTTGACATGAGACTTCTATTTTAAGAGGATTACTTTAACATCTAGTAAAGGTGCTATTCCAAACAGTGAGAAAAGTGAATTAAGTTATGATAAAAAATGCATTAAACTTTTAGGAAAGAATAAAGCTATAGACTCTTCCTAATTGTTTATTGAAATAAATTCAACAGATTAATTAAAATTCAAATACGTGTAAACTCAAGAAATGGAAAAATATATTGGGAAATATTTAACAGAACTTGCTGTGGACTTCGAAGCATAAAAGGAAAAAATACCCCATAAAACATAAGGAATGACTACATAAGTTTCAAAACTTCCATGTGTCTAAAAACTTGTGTTGGTTAATATATTTGAAGTTTCCACAATAGAGAAACCCAATTCAATGTATCTAAACAAAAATCAAAGGTCTCTGGCTTTCAGTGTCTAAGGTCCAGTCTTCGTAAATGTGTGAAAAATGGTTTGCATTCTGACTGTGTGCACTGGTTCTCCAGTTAGGCTGGGTTCAAAGCAAACAGCTGAGCTTCCAAGAGGACTGATGTATTGCTTACTTGGATGTGACCTCTCACGTATTTCCCAAAGGTGAGAATCTAGTTACTAACACTTCCACTTGTCTTAAAGGATGAACTTGTGGCTCTCTGTTGACATCCTTTTACATCCTATAGCTAATAAACATTGTATAATTTGTCCAAGAAGTGTCTAGTCTTCAGTTCAAGAGGTGATCACTAACAGTCAAAATAGTGGTCACACAGCCCCCAACAGATTAAAAGAGTTTAAAAATTACAATCAGCATGTTATTTACTTTTATAAATAAGATTAAGACAAAATAAAACACAAAAGCAAGGCTTTCTCTAAATAAATAATGGCTTGAATGGTTGGTCTGTTTCTCTCAAAAAACAAAGCAAAACCAAGTATTTGTGCAATGTTGTTAATAGGGAGCAAAGCATACCCTGAATCCAGTGTTCCTCCACACCTATTTTGGGCTTCCCTGGTGGCTCATCAGTAAAGGATCCGCCTGAAATGCAGGAGGGAGACGTGGGTTCTATCCCTGGGTCAGGAAGATCCCCTGGAAGAGGGCATGGCAACCCACTCCAGTATTCTTGTTTGGAGAATCCGGTGGACAGAGGAGCCTGGCGGGCTACAGTCCATTGGGTCGCAAAGAGTTGGATACCACTGAGGCGACCTAGCACGGATGTCATGTCTACTTTACTGTAGACTGTAAGCAGTGTTACAGGCATTTGGGGATCTAGTTTCACAGAAATCAAGAAAATAAAACATCCTTTCCGGAATTCTTACTATTTTCCCCAAACCTCACAGTTCAGGTCAAAATTGCTAACACAAAATTGCATCTCCTATGTGTGCAAATTTCTCTCCCTGTTAAATTACAAGATGCTAAGGGAAGGGGCCCCATTTTATACTTGTTTTACATCACTTACAAGGCAGCAAACAGGAACTGCCGAAGGCAATGCTGAGTAACACAGATATTAACAATGAATTTAAGAAGGCCGGGAGTATGTTAGAGCGGGAGTTGGTGGCAAACAGATTTATGTTCTAATTCTTAGTGGGCACTTTTTAGCCGTGAGACCTTGGCTAAATCATTTTCTTTTAGGAGAAACTTCATTCATTAGGGACTTGGGATGTGTCAGGTACAGAGGGGATACAACTGCGAACAAAGTAGGCAGCATTCCTGCCCACCTAAAAGGTCTTTCAGTAGTTCAGAAGGCAGAAAAGAAATTTGAATAATCGTGGAAAACCCTATGTGTAAAATGAAAATCATATCCACTTCCAAGTGTTGTGCAGTTTAAATGAGATAGATTACATAGTTCAGTGACCAGCACGTAAAGCAGACGATACAGACTGAAGTCTGACTTTCACTTCCTTATCAGTAATCTCCTTTACACAGGTGGGCCCCCCAGGCCTTTCCGCTCAGGGCCTACTAAGCGGATACTTATCCGTGTGAGGGAAAGTACAGACTAGGCAGGCTGGAGACTGGGGAAGTAGTCTATTATCTCCAGCAAATTGTTAACCTGTAAGACCCAGGGCGCCAGTGCTCGAGTTCCCATTGGCTAGTCTCCTTCCGAAACGCACGCCTTTTCCCGACCCCCTCAGGCTACTAGCTAATAATACACGCCTCCCCAGTACATTTCACTTGCCCCGCCTCCGCCCCGCCTCCCTAACGGGTTCGCGCCATTGGCGGATCTCCCGGGCCGTGATGGCGGTGGTGCGCCTGCGCCCTCCGTCCGGGCCTTTACCAGAAAAGGAGCTGGCAGGCAGAGGCTGGAGAAGGCTGGTCAAGCTCCGCCCGGGTGAAAGGGCGGCGGCTGCGCCGGGCGGGGCCGAGTTCCAGGGCTGGCGGCTAGGCTGCGGTGGGGCTAGCGAGGCGCTGCGTAGTTGCGCCCTGCTTTGGCGACTCGGGGCTGGCCGAGCAGAGTCCGCGCGCCGGCCCCGGCGTCTGCGCTACGCGACAGCGGCGACTAAGCGCTGGTGTCTCCAGCATGACGGAGCTGAGGCAGAGGGTGGCTCGCGAGCCGGAAGCTCCGCCCGAGGACAAGGTAGCGGCGGCACCGGGTGGGCGCGGCTGCGGAAGCGGCGTTCCCCAGAAGTCCGTGGGGGGCGCGCACAGAGGGGTCGTCTCGCCATTTGACTGGCGCGGCCGCCGGCAGCATCGGGCCTGACTAGGGTGGAGGGTCCTTGGGTGCGGGGTCCCGCGGAGCTCGCGGCAGGGTTCAGCAGGTCGAGGTCCCGAGGACACGGCTCTGGGGTCCGGTTGGGGTTGGTATCTCCGCGGCTCAGGAAGGAAAGCGCGGGAGGTTGCGCACGTCCGCCAGCCTCGCAGGGCTGATTGGGCCGGAGGGCGGGGGGGGGGTGTCCCAGTCCAGTCCACCTCCCCAGTCGTTCCCGGGTGTGAAGACGTCGAGACCCAGCAAAGATTCCTCAGAGCGTGACTTAGCCTTTCCGATCTCCCGTTATTTGTTGAGGGATGAAGGTGTATCAAGACAAGGCCATGAGATTTGCCTGTTAGATTTAAACCCCTTCTCGAAAGTTAAATCTGTTGGCTTTAAGCAGAGAAGTCATGCAGTCATTAGGTGTTGAAAGGTATATTCCCCAAAGATAGACTTGTTTCCTGTTTCAGATGTGGGCTTTGTTGGGGTAGAGAGGAGGGTAGAACAGAGGCCATCTTGGGGGGGTGAGGGATGAGGTGAGTAGACTTATTTGGTTGAAGTGAAAGGTCTGTGTAGGAAAGTTGAGGAAGGTGATGAGTGGCCTTGTTACTGTGGACGCTAAATGACAGCGCCAACTTCTTGGTAGTATTTCAAGCCTGGAGTTAGTCGTGGTCAGGAGCAGTGTTATTTGGTGGATTGATGACAGTGATGTGTAAACTGGACTGAGAGAGCCTGGACCAGAATGAAAGAGAGTGTCTGACTCGCCGGTTGCCAACTGGTGACCTGCAGTTGTTTTCTTTGGTCCCTGTGTTGCTTTAAAAAACCAGAATGTTTCTCCCAGCCATTTGAATTTATTGCCTATTTTGGATCATTGGAAGATCTGCCATCATATTCCCAGCTGATTAATGTTTGGCTGGAACTGAGGAACAGCTGCTCCCACCAATCCCTGTTGCCCCTGCACCAGGCCCTCAATACCCGTTTATGTAGCTTTCCATTTTAGAAAACTGGAGGAAAGGAACGTTAGGGAGATATCAGGAAGGAAGAAAGCCAAGATTTGGTGTCAGGGTGTCAACAGCAGTTATACTAGAAGGGTGAAAGAAATGAAATTTGATTTCTAGAGTATGTTTTGGAGAAAAATTTGGTTGCAAGTTGAGGAGTCACTTACAGAGACAAGGTACTTTGAAGTTTCTGATCTTCCCATTAAATACCCTAGTTTGGCCTGGAAGAGCTCTGTTGCCACCATGCATTTGCCTGTTGGGAAGTTACCAGATGTTTTGAGGCTGTATAGCCCTGTATAGGGTGAGAGATCAGTCTTAATGTTAATGGGACTTTGTGGTTTTAGGTGTGAAAAGAGCAGTCAAAAAAGAAAGCATGATACCTAGTGGGCTGTATGTTAAAAAACTACTTGTAAGAATTAGACTTAATGGTAAAAACGAGCAAACCCACATACCCCAAAACCATGAGGTTATGAGGTAAAACAAAATTTCTACCCTTCCCATCCAACTGCTTGGATCCATTTCCCAGACAAAAGTGCCAGCTGATTATTAAGTACTTTCCCATCCCCTGTTTTAGGTAGGGATCGTATGAAGAACTAGCCAGCTAAAGGTACTTACTTTTTTTTTACTACTTGGCTTAAACTGCTTCTATGATGAGAGAATGCCTGGGGCTTTGAGGTTCACTGAACGCTTGTTGCTCCACAAACACTTAGTCCATTAGCCCAGAACAAGGCAGTTGCTCCGTTGCCAATATTTCTGGATGACCATGCATGGAGTTTATTAATAATAAAGATTCCTTTTAAAAACTGTGAAATGGTTTATTTGTCTTTGATGAATGTATGCTGTGCTTAGTCACTTAGTCGTGTCTGACTCTTTGCAACCCCATGGACTGTAGCCTGCCAGACTCTACTATCCATGGGGATTCTGCAGGCAAGAATACTGGAGTGGATTGCCATGCCCTACTCCAGGGGATCTTCCCAACCCAGGGATCAAACCGAGGTCTCCCGCCTTGCAGGTGGATTCACTGCCATCTGAGCCTTCACATGAATGTATATAAAGTATTAAAATTAGGTTTATTTTATTTCATGGTTTATAAAACTTACTTCCATGATTCTGGCTTTGCTGATATTCTTGGGTTAAAATTTAAGAAAATATAGTAAAACAAGGGTATCTTTTAAGTGAAATAAATGGCGAAATTCTAGCTTTCTTATTTTATAGTAGAATTCAGAAAACAGTGTCAGATCAACTCATTAAAAGAACTGAAGCAAATTTGAAAGATTTAGGAAAAAGTGCTACAGTTGCCTAACTGGTGTGACAAAATTTCAATAAACAGTCATTTCAAAATAATCTGGGGAATGTGTTTATTTTTATAAAAGTCAGAATGTATTATATTTAGCATCCTAGAATGGAATTGTCAAGCCAGTTGCTAATAAAGGAAATTTTTCCTCTGGGAACCGTGCTTAAAATTTTAAAGTCCCAAAGCACAGTATTGTTGCCAAAGCAAGAAGCTTGGAGTTTAAGGTTTGGAAATGATCTTCCTCCCATTGTTCCATGTTTTTCCATTGGAGCTTAGGAAAGGAGAGAATGGAACTTGGGCCAAAACATTGGCATATTAAAATTTATGATTGGGTTGGCATTTCAGGAGACTTTGTTTTGGAGGTTAGAAGGAAGGATGTGGAGTTGTCTACTATCCTTAGGTGCTAGAGTGCTGTGTAGAGTTTTACTCATTCAAGGCTTTCTTTCTAGATCAATGAAACCAGCATAAAGATGAAATAAAGGTATTATTTAGAAAGGGGAGTTTAGATTTTAACTGAAGATGGTGGTTTTAAGAGCAGGGGCATAACAGTCAGCTAGAGCTATCATCAGCCTGGACAGTGCCACTTACTAGCTGTGTGTGTGTGTGTGTGTGTGTGTGTGAGATATGTCACTCAGTCCATGTTGCTCGGTCGTGTCCAACTCTTTGCCACCCCATGGACTGTAGCCTGCGAGGCTCCTCTGTCCGTGGAATTTTCTAGGCAAGAATACTGGAGTGGGTTGCCATTTTCCTACTCCATACCAGTTTGTGTAACTTTGAGAAAATCACTTAAATTGCATAAAAGCCTCAGCTTGTCCATTTCTAAAATGAGGGGTGATAAAAAGTAGCATGTGCTTCAGAGGATATTCATGTGGATTAAATGAGTATGCATGTTACATATGTAGAGCAGAAGTCGTCACATTGTACTGTGTTAAGCGATTGTCTCTGGTTGAAATGTAGTTTTACAGGAAAAAACTAATATTCACCTTCTACTCTTGGAAGATGATTCAATCTTCAAGTTATAAGTGTTCAGAGTAGTCTTTTCCTATTTATCACCTTTTAAAGAAAATTTTATAGACAGACCTTGGCCTTCTATGACCCACCTTTTCAGTTCATTTTCTTACTGAATTTTTCATTGCTCAGAATCACAGTCAAACTTCAGCTGTAGAAGGAATATTGCTTCATGCAGTTGTCTTTCCCTAATAGCTTTTTTAGACCTCCCTCGTGGCTCAGCTGGTAAAGAATTTGCCTGCAATTTGGGAGACCTGGGTTCGATCCCTGGGTTGGGAATATCTCCTGGAGAAGGGAAAGGCTACCCACTCCAGTATTCTGGCCTGGAGAATTTCATGGACTGTATAGTCCATGGGGTCTCAAAGAGTCAGACATGACTGAAAGACTTTCACTTTCATAGCATATTTTAGAATAGTGGTAAATAATTAAACATAGTTTTCTGCTAGACTTCAAAAGTGAACTACTGAAATAATAAAATCTTATTTTTGGAGCTCTGACTACTTCAGATGCAGGAGAAATGCTTTATCCTTTCAGTCTATTTTTAGGTTTTGAATAATCAGTAAACCTTAACTATGGCTCCCAGACTTAAATAGAAAGAGAAGATGAAAGATTAGTTTGTCATATAACCCAGTATTTTAAGTTGCTGATCAAAAAGTATAATTTTATTTTAAAAACTCAGTTACGTTCCAACTTATGGCTACTTAAAATTAGTTTTTTTCAAAAAACGTTTTGTTTAAAATGTTTTGTGTAAATTTATGTGATATTTCATTAGCCTTTAACATTTTAAAAAATATTAAATTGCTCTTATCAGATGTTAGAACTAGAAGGGATTTTAGGGTTAGTTATTTTATAGCAGAGTAGCCCAGAGAGCTTGTTACTTTCTCAATGTCACACAGCTGGTTAGATGCAGAGTTGTTAATAGTATGAAGGTTTTCTGATTCCTTTTTACTCATTATGTTGCATAATGTTGCCTTTTAGGATACAGACTTAATTTATAGACTTTAAAAGTTTCTGCATTGATTGACTTTGATTAAAAAAAAAGCCCCAGTATCTCCTGTTTTTTCACAAAAATAGCAAAATCTTTCAAAATGCCAAATATATATATATGTATATAAACGTATGTATGTGTTCCTGAGTGAATGTTGAAACTCTGAGAAAACTTTTTTTTTTTTTTGGTAGAAAAAGTTGATTAGGTCCTGTTTTCCTGGTTATTAGAAAAGTGGTGATTTATATATTTTAAGTTCACCCCTGGGAGCACCCACTCAGGTATCCTTGAAAGGAACTCCTAGCAAGTTGTCAGCTCCTCACTCTGAGCTTTCATGGGAAGCTACTCAGAATAAATGCTTTCTGGTTGGTGGCCCTTAATATTGGAACTATTTGTCCTAGCAACAATGTCATTCAGTATTTACACATTTTCTTTTAGAATGTTCACTGAACCCAAGGTCTGCTGTTATACAGTCTCACTAGCTCTGAGAGAGGGCTGGTGTCTGTGCTCCTGGGGAAAACGTCCAGGATTTTATATCACTTTTGGCTCCAAATAATCCATTCTTTCTCCACTGATTTCAAGAAATCATAATTTTGAATGTATC